AGTCTTAGATCCTGATCTCTCCATGATTGGCAGTGATGCAATACTCTTCATTACTAAAGCAACGGCAAGTTTTCGTATATTTTTCATGTACAGAAGGCATAAACTCGCTGCTAACGTCGTTGTGGAGAAGCACTCGTACGTACCTATGGCTCCATTCCCCTAACCAAAGCTTAAGCTCAGGAGAGCAAGCGACCATGGTCACTGAGCTAGACATCTAGAATGTCCGTCACAGAGGCGTTCAATCTTCGTGGTTCGGTCACGATGAGGTCGTTTGATCGCGCGGTCAGAGCGACCTTATCGCGAACTATGAATGCGCTCCTAGGCATTGCTTCTGAGCAGTTTTGATACGTTTTTTGTGGGATGATGACTTATTGAGCTTTCAATGCTGATCAGGCTCTTTATATGAGGCAGCACGGATTCGATCTCCATTCAGGAACCTTGATGACCAAAGGCTCGCTCAGCTGGTGCAAAAATCACCGCTTTTTCTCCTCCCAGACAATCCGCTGTCAACCAGCCTGGAAGACAGAAGCGGAAGGTTTGGTTGGCCTAGGTGGGAATCGATCCGTCACTTGGTCCTCGCAACGTGCATGTGCTAACCGGCGCTAAGGTCCACCCGCTGGTCTCTTTTATGTGAAGGGAAGAAGAGTAACGGTCTCCAAAAGAGAAATAAACATTTATTGTCTTCGCTACAGTTTCACTACCTAGGAGGTATTCTCCATTGCCTTCGCTGCATTTCGCTGGCTAGGAGTTACCGAATACACCTCAGGAGATACACAGCCAAAAGATAAGGAAATGTTTAGCAGCTCGAGAACCGCTGCTACCGCTAAGCCCCCTGCGCCCTGCATGGACACTCTATCGGCTACTTTGCTAGATTAAAAGTACGCGTGCAGAGCGTACCCAGCGATGGAGCCAATGTTGTGAAAAGTACACCACGCGTTCGCTACCGGGGGCAGTGTAACGTTGTAACTGAGAACACCTTAAACTTTGGGAACCAAACGAGCGGTAGTGGTGATTCGTGGAACTGCGAAGCGCTTTTCGCTGCCAATAATCAGGTCAGCGGTAAGCGACTTTTTGACCTCCTTGCAGTGATGTTTTTCTCATGGTTGTGCAGAGTCATTGTACAACAATAATCTGACTCTTTCAGGAATTGTTTGTAGCTGAATTGGCGAAGGCTTCATACACCCAAGCTGTGTTGGAAAAGAGGAAAACAATACAGACAAAAGATATCGGTAAGCATACACTTGCAATCCATAAAGGATAAAAGGATAAAGTCTTCGCCGTTGATCAATCCCTTTGTGGGATGCGGCACGCATTCTACTTCCATTCAGAATCGTAGTGATGAATGCGATGTGGCCTATACAATGACTTGCGGTGGCCAGCCGATGTACAAGTCAGTGTTTTATCCTCCCAGACGAATCTGGTACCAATTCACCGTCCCCGGAGGGTAGAAGGCTTGGTTGGCCTGGGCGGGAGTCGACCCGGGATTCGAACCCGGGACCGCGCGAATGGTGAGCGCCCCACTTGTCACTACTCCATCTCCGCCTCCAATCCATGTTATGTTCCGAAAAAAGGATACTGAGAATTTCATTACATCTAACAGTGAAAGTACTGCTTTGCGAGAAACGCCTACGTCTAGTATTTTACGTGCCTTTGTACTGGCCTCATCATTCCCCTTTTGATTTGATCCTTCACCTGAGGTCCAGCCAACGCGCGCGCAAAGCTCAGGGTTAACTGGGCATTCGTCGTGTTAATGCTTGATAGGGCACGCGAACATTCGAATTTTTAGGTGGCTATAGCAGGATTTAGCAGTCCTATAGGTCATCCTCCAACACGTGTGCAGCCACAGTGTGATCTCCGTCAACGATCAGTATCTATTTTTCAGATAGAGCGATATCATCGAAAGCCGTTTTTGAGTTCCTCGAAGGTACACTAAGTGATTGGCCTGAAACTGAATCCTCAAAAGGAATCTCGCAGACACAAGTCAGCACTGAGAGGAATCTCGCAGACACAAGTCAGCGCTGAGGAAGATGCAATTATTGAGGAGGACATGGAAAACATTGAAGAAGATGCTGTAGAAAACACTGTCGATAAGGACGTCGCCTTGGAAGAGGACTTGGAAGACGCTGACGGAGATGTGGATGAAGTAGGTTCATCTATTAATCGTGAATGTACTGTTCTTTGTCTCATGGTTTGAATAGTTTCATGTGTAGAGTTGTACTCCGAACGCTGAAATTGAAGAACCGCTTAGTTTAGCTGTCACGGTGAAAGTCACCGGATCGAAGGTTACAGCTTGGTGCTGTTCGGTTTTAGGAGGGGCATTTTGCTAGTTCGCTAGTTTCAGTTCCATTGTTTGTTGGGACCTGTAAACCTATGAAACTGCGATATGGAACATGCTTTGCCTAGCTACTGTGATGATACATGTGGAACACTTGCAAACCCCTCGAAATGGAGGGCAGTTTAGGTTGGTGGGGCACCAAATGGTAACAACGAAGTTTGTTGGCCACCCTGTTGAGACTTGTAATTTGTTCTCACTAGAGTGGCTCACTTATGCCATTTCTCAGCTTCACAAGAGTTCACAGGCGGTTCAGCTGTTAGTACTGGTCACCTGTTACTCAAAATGAACTAGCTAAAAGAACTAGCGAAAGTGCAATATACTCGCTCCGTTCACCCCCGCTCCACTTCACCCACCCCCCCCCTATTCCTTTAAGCTCAGCAACGTTCGGAACGGTATGAGCTTTATTATATGTGGAAGCGTCAGCTTCACATGAGTTCACAGGTTTACCTGTTGGCTTATACGAGCGTTCTTGGGTACTCGTAGCTTCACAGTCGCTGCACCGAACGGAGTCTGCATTTGATTTATAGGCTGTTTACCTTTGGTTACCACAGGATCGTACCTATGACAAGGACTGCGAATGGTTGTAAACACTACATACCAAGGAATGGAATGATTGTATTCCTCATTAGACAATATTTCCCAACGAAGCTTGTGCTGACTGAAACTGTTTCGAATGATATTTTTCTTTACGCTCAATCTTCATGGAAGCAATACCCGCTCTACATTTTTTTCTGCAATTCCTGTATAGTGCGTGTTTCAGACTGTTTCTGACTCTGGAGGTGCTGAAGATGCGAATACTTCAAATGTCGACATGTTTGAATGAAACCAGTATCCGTTACAACCCATCTTGCTTTTTTCTTTCAAATGTCACCGGTCTGCATTTCCCTTCCTTTTCGTTCTCTGTGTCTATCATTTACATATTTCCGGTCACTTAATATCCATTTGCGACCAGTGCTGATAGAATAACTGACTGATTGAACTTCTAATGTGCTCTTCCTAAAAATTCTAATGGGTGCCTTTTTGTTCCATCGTAAATAATCTCTCTCTGTTGTGAAAATTCACAATTTCCATGAAAATTGAGCACGTTATTATTTTTCGGAGCCACATTACTCATCGGCATGACAGAGTCCGCGTTTCTGCGCCTCGAGGTGAGGCTGCGCGGACTATGGCCGTCTGCGCTCTATCAGAAGGAAAAATGAATGAATGGATTGATCAACAAATTAATGACGTTGAAAAAATATTATGAAAATTCAAAATTTGCAACAAATTCATTGAAAAGTGGGGGATAGGGAGTTGCCCATGTGTCGATGTACGGTCCTTTTCAGTTAGTGTGTGCGAAACTCATTCAATGAGCCACTACGATTCTGAATGGAAGTAGAATGCATGCCGCATCCCAAAAAGGGATCGATTAACGGCAAAGACTATCCTTTATCCTTATCTTTTTTATGTGCGAAACTACAAAATTGCAGAAATGTCACAGAAGCAGAACTTATGAAATGAGGTTTGAGAAATCGTGGTCACTCTGAAATGTCAGCGTGGCTGTTAGGGCGGGGCCTGCAGCACTGTGTAGTGTGGCGTGTTTGATCATGTAATGAGTTCTTGGTCTATATGCGCTTTGGACGTCAGCAACTTCGGCCACCGACCTCGATTTTTGAAATTGCTAATTACCTAATCGCCGCTAAAAAACTTGTATGTGAGGCGTAGCTTCAAATCTTTACGAAGACTAGGGGGCATGTCGACTCGTTGTCCGGGCGCTGAGATGTATAGGCAGGGTGGTGGCTGGGGGTGTACGATTTACTCGCTTCCGCTGAGAGGTGGAGGGGGGCCACAGAGGGTGGGGGCGTATGCGGGGGGGCGGAGTGGCATGCCGCGTGGGGCGCTCCAGCGTCCAAGAGGATGGCGGGGTGTGCATTATTCGTAATCAGGATGGTAAACGAGACCCTTTTTACATATCTGGCAGGGCGGTGGTTTGGCGGACTTATGGCAATCTTATAATGAGCTCGGGTGCGCGGAAGGTTGGTTGGAGTTCGAAACGGCGGATTAGCGTTGCTGAGTTTCGTGGTTTGGTTCAAAATAAGTCGCATGAATTCTGTTCAAAAGTTTGCGGATTTCTGTATGCAAATAGGGGAATTTCAAAAAGGAGGTCCAAGTTGTATATAGAATGGTTAAGCCGGGTGTAGGTTAGGACTCCACGAGAGGTCACGGTCGCCATGTTTCGCCTCGCCGCGCGCGGCGATTGCTGCCGTGCTTGGACGAGACCCATACAGTCGTGCGATTAAGATCCCGGTCCTTTCACATAGTTCTGGCATCGCGCAAATCTGCTTGGATTTTGTCAAATCAGGATATTCAATGGGACGTCAATATTTTTGAATGGCAGCTGTACTTATTCAACGATTGCTGTATTTCTTAGATACATACAGCACTTTTTCCCGTCTGGCCCGATTTCTCAGGCTCTTTACAATACCTTACAATTGGAGGGATGTGCCAAAAAGAAGGGATTCGACCTAAAGTGAATTTTTTGTAGATTGCTGATGTATTCTCTAAATTATTTCTATGTAAATGGAAGTTGTTTCACACTAATAGTTGAACATCGGGCCCGCTCCTTTCATAGTTTTCACACCTGCAAGTAATAAAGCAGACTGTTGGAAATGTAATGGTCTATGCAAACGCCGCCACTTAGCGAAATATCGCGGGGCCCGCTTCCCCCCGCCGCGGCTTGACCGTCTCGTGGAGTACTTGACCGTTTGCCCGTTTAGAGCCTGCCAGTAACCGGTTACAAGGTTCTGCGAACCGGATCTGCTGCAGCATCAAAGAGGATATGTCTCCATAGTATACTGGCCCAGCAGTTGAAGGGAGAAGTGAAAGAAAGTGGGGAAAATGAAGGAAGGTAGGGAAAGAAAGCAAGAGGGAGAAAAGAATGATGAGGTGAGTCTTCGCATTGACTAGTTTCCCGAGACGGCAAAAACGACATAGGGATTTGCCACCACCTCTTAAGGCGACCACTTCAGTTTGGTTAAGCGTTATTGTTTGCCAGAGATTTAAAGCCATTACTAACGTAAAAGTATAGGTTGAGTCTGTCGTTCTCCTTGCGAAGGCAAAGAGCCAATCGTCCCATGGCCATCCGTGCCCTCCATCTTTCGTAACCGGCGGCATGAGTATTATAAGCTGCTGCCAGCGCAGTTCATGGACTAGAATTGGCTTCGCCGCACCTACGCTAGGAGCTGGTCGTCTCACGCCTCGGCCCGGCTCTGCCGGCCTCCTCCTCTCCTCCCCCTTTTCCCTATGTATCGTATCTATATCTAATAAACATTTATATTGGACCAGTCCAATGTATACATAGCAACAGCCGCCCTACACCTATCAGATTGAAGCGGTGCGCGACCTTCATCCGATGGAGGTTAGGCGGTGTTCTACAGTCCTCATCATTGCCAGGCCGCGTGGCGTCGTAGCAGTGCGGGCTGCGTTTGCTGCGGTTGGAAAGACGTTCTTGCACCATGTTGTTGAAGCGCGGGCAAGTGTATCACTGCTATAATATACCTTTCATACTACTCGGTTTTCTACCACTTTTTGCTCGCATACGCGTTGCCTTACAAGAAGTCTGAGGAACGGCGCTCAACAGTGTGCGCAACTCCGTCTGGCCTGAACATTCCCAGCGGTCAGCCGGAATTGATGAGGAACTGTATGTTATGAGATTGAATCTGGGGTGAATGTCAAGAATGTTAGTAGATTAATAGATACGATACAATAGGGAAAAAGGGCCCGGGAGAGAGAGAGGCGGCGAGCTGAGGCCTGAGGCTGTGAGTACTGAGACTATTGCTCCTGAGCTTAGGGGGATGGGCTGGGTCTAAGCCATTCATCCATGACTGCCCGGTGCGAGCAGCAGGCTTATAATATCGTCATGGCGTTTCGCAACTGAGGATATGATGCTATGCGAGCTAACATAGCTATATCGAACGCTACTATTTCTATCGATTTGGTTATATCGTCTCCGTCCATTTTTGATGTTCGAGTTGTTGGGGTGCTGTTGTTTGTAATCGTGGCTCAGGCCGGGATTTACTGTAGCTCTTCCGGGGGGTACCTTCGTGTAGAATGCGAGAGTCGAATTTGATACTCATAACGTTGATGACGTTTAATGCAGGAGTTATTAATTCTGGAGAGGTGGGGTGGTCTCGGCATGGGGGTGGGTGGCGCGATGTGGGCGGTGGCGGACTTTATCGAGTTTGTTGCGTGGTGATAGTCCTATTGTGACTGAGGTGGTTGAGAGGTAGCTCTGAAGTGTCTACTGTATCTCGGTTGCTTCTTGTCCGGTGAAGTGGGAAGGCGAACTTGAGTTCGTCGTTTGTAGGATTTCCTCCCTCTGATGGAAAATTGATAGGGTCTGTCGTCTGAACTGGTTAAAGAATCGGAAAAGTATGCGCTCATAAGATGTTACTGAGGTCCTAGAGGGTTGGGTTGGACTTATGGGTGACTAGACGAAAGGTTTTTTGGAGGTTTGGAAAATTTTTTTTCAAAGTTGAAGGTGACTCACAATCCTGTAGTTCCTTGGAGGCGTTGTTGGGACGTTGAGTGAAGTTGATCGGATTGGAGACGATGGAGACGTTGAGGATCGGTCGATTGAGTCCAGAGGAGAGTCGACTGCTTCCGAAGACGCGGATGGTCCGAATGGGCAGCGGCGCCCCGTTGGCGGGGTAGTCGTTCACCCCGGGTGTAATGTGGGTGGGGATGGTCCGTTGGCATGATGGGATTGGTCCGTCTGGGTACGCCTTGGAGCGGCTGTTATGGTACCGTATCCCCCCTGAGAGATGGAAGCTCGATGATATCTCCAAATAACATTGCTATTTGTTACCCTAGAACGTCTCTAAAATGGCTTTTCCATGATTTTTCGGAAAATTATGGTGGTTCAAGTATGTTTATTTTCTTTTGATTTACTCTAATTAAATTTATTTTGTTGATATTGGGGATAAGAAAGGCTTACCTGGGCTGAAAACGGGGTAAGATAGGCATTAGAATCAATTTGGGGTTCCTCTTCCTCTTTTCCTACTTTTGTGGGTGTTATTTGTGTGAGTAAGAGCAGTGAGCTCCTCTTTTAAAGATGGTAGGGTTCTTATTATAAATTTTCTGGAACATAAAATGATTTTTAATGGGTTGGGATTGGTAGGAAGAGAGGCTAGGAGTGGTGGTGGAATTTTTCCAGCCGTTGGGGTGAAATTGCCTGAAATTTCAATTGTTTTACATAGGAAAATATGGGAGGCGAATGCAAAATAGTATTTTAATGGTTTTCTCTGGGATACGCCGTGTCCCTGCTCACCTTTGACTAATGAACCTGTGATGGGAGGGTGTGAATTCAATTTATTTATTTTATAGTTGATTGGATGATCCTAATTGAGTGTTTAGGGTGTTAGGCTTAGGGATTGCGCCATGCATGTGACTCGGGTTCAAATTTGTATCAATAATTGCAAGGTGATGGGTTTCTACATTGTTATTTTCATGAAAGAAGCTCAGCGGCGCTGGATTGCGCCATGCATATGACCTTATGTGGAAATTTTATTTGTGATTATTAGGTTATAAAGTGTCTACATTATGATTGCTTAGTGGACATTCGAATTTCTTTTCCTAATATCTTACTATGTCTCGTCGGCCAGCGTTTGTTTGCGTAATTTGATTGGATTAGGAACTAGTGAGGCGGCTGACATGACCTAGGTGCTATGTTTGCACAAGATTAGGGGAGGAGAAAATTGTAACGTAGACTTACCATTCATCAGTTCTTGGCGATTCCTGGGCAGTCGTGTCCCAGGAAGTTCTCTTACCTTC